ACATTCTGGTGCTGTTTCTAGACTAATTTTTGTTGCCCTGCTTACAGAAACTGCCTCTCCGGTTAACCCTTAGTACATTGTAACAGCTAAGACGAAGCGCCCGTCGACCTGAGTGACGTTGAGTTGGCCACGCCCACCCAGTCACATGACCACCGAGTCCCACCTACCCAGATGGTCATTAGGGCAGAGAACCAGTTGTTAAATTATTTGAATCCCACCACTGGACTGTTACAATGTCCCCGGGGTCATGCTATCCCCTTTTGCGACCATCTGACAAGTCAGTTGAGAAGCCAGATTGATTTAATAGCTGTGTTATTCATTTAATGACTGCAGTGATTCCCTTGACAAACGCGGCAGGAAAAGTCGTAAAATGGGGTTAAACTCAATTAACAAACAACTCACTCAGCAACATAAATGTCCGGCCCAATTGTCGTAAGCCGAGGACTCCCTGTACTAACCGCGATCAGCCATATTTCATTTCTGAGCCCAAATTGGCTTGGCCAGATGCTGCCACTTCTTTAAATGTCATGACGTGAGACGTGAATGCCTGATTCTTGTTTCCTCCTCAAGAGTTCTTATGGAGATCGGAAGAAGTCTCGGAATCTGGAAGCTTACGTGGAATGGTTCAATAGACTGAGTTATTTGGTTGCCACCGAAATATGTATGGTAAGCCAAACTCTTCATTGCCCTTCCTTCCTTCCTTCCTTCCACTCTGATCAAACCACAGAGACCAGCTGGGAGCTGTATTCTATGCACAAGATTGTATGGTACAAAAGTAAAACTCTACAACAAACCCCCTTGAGGGTGTAGTTTCTGTTGGAATGGCCTTCACACTAGTAATTATTCCTAGCTATACAAATGCCTCTGGTTGATTTACTCGAATGTTCTGGGGATGTCCTTGCTTACTCTACACGTTGGTGGGTGTATTTTTGGAAAGCTGACAGCCCGGGTTTGAGACCCAAGTGCCGTGTGACAGGGTGAGCTCCCGTTCTTACTCCTGCCTGTACAGGAGTTTGAAAGCATGCAAATGCAAGCAGATTAATAGGTACCACTTTGGTGGGACGGTAACAGTGTTCTGTTGGCGCCTATTGGCATATTGGTATAGCTGCAGAGAGTCTCCCCCTTCGGGGTCTTTTTGTGTGGATCAGAGGGGGGCATAAATTCCAACTTGGAATCTGCTTCAGCCTCCTGGTGGGGGGCTTTGGGCGAAGGCTGGAGGGAAGCACTGCTGGTGGCGAGGAGCTGGAGGGACTTTTTCCAGTGGGACTGCATCATGGCCTGGAACTGGCTGACCATCTCAGCCCAATGAGCCTCCAAGTGCCGGGACCTGGCCTTGGGCTCCTGCAGGTCTTCCCTTTGCTTGGAAAGTCTATGCTCGTAGTCCTCAGTGAGGTGCTTCTGCTGAGTCGCCTTCTCGGTCAGATCCAATTCGAATTGATCTCTTTTGCCAACTCTTTCTCATGCGGGCTGCTTAGCTCCAGCAACTGCTTCCTGTTGGGGCCTTAAGTAGCCCAGATGGGCAGGCAAGGAGTGGCAATTAGAGGCTGGCCAGGCGCCCCTCGATGTGAGTGACAGTGAGTTGGCCACGCCCACCCAGCCAGTCCTTAGGCAGATCATATTAGTGGTCCACAGGATTTAAAATTATGAATTTAGTGGTCTCTGAGATCTGAAAGGTTGGTGACCCCTCCAAAAAGCTCAGAGATGATGTTCTCAGCCAAATCATGTCGTATTTTGCTCTCTCACAGCCTATAAAGAAAAAACACAGAGCAAGAATGATAGAATACTTCATTGACGTCGCCCGAGAGTGTTTCAACATCGGCAACTTCAACTCTTTAATGGCTATTATTTGTGAGTATAAACAAGAATGCTTTCCATCTGTTTCCTTTTTGTTTTGCTCTGGAAAAAAAAGTGCTTCGTACAATTCTGCCCCAAAGCTTCTGGATCACGTTGGATCACCTGGCAGCCTCCACATTTGTTAGGGTTACTAGCAGTGGTGGAATCCTGCTGGTTTAATAACCAGTTCGATCAGAGGTGGTATTCAGCAGGTTCTGACCAGTTCTGGAGAACCGGTAGCAGAAATTTTGAGTAGTTCAGAGAACCCGTAAATATCACCTCTGGCTGGCCCCGCCCCCATCTATTCTCTGCCCCCCAGCTGATTGGGAGGGAATGGGATTTTGCAGTATCCTTCCCCCACCAAGCCACGCCACGCTCACCAAGCCACGCCACGCCCACCAAGCCACGCCCACAGAACCGGTAGTAAAAAAATTGGGATCCCATCACTGAGTTCGGTGATCACACATTTCCCTCTCAGCTGATTGTCGGAGCAACCGGTTTGCCCGAACTAGCCCCAACCGGCTGAATCCAACCCCTGTTTCCTAGGATTTCTAGGAATTTTAAGTCTTAAATGGGTGTTTCTCAACCTTGACAATTTGAAGATGTGTAGACTTCAACTCTCTATGTTGGCTGGGGAATTCTGGGAGTTGAAGTCCACACATCTTCAGCCTGCCAAGGTTGAGGGAAAAACTGCCTTAAAATAATAGAGTGATAGAGTAGAGAAAGCAACTCTTGATGTGCCTCTTTGTCTCTTCTTTCTCATCTTCCCCATAGTGACTTTTCAGGCCCAAAATATGTCCTTGCCCAGCCTAGTTTTACCTCAAAGATGGAAAACCGAGCCAAGCTCCCTCACATAAGCTGATAATGCATGGCCTGCGTTAAAAATGGCTGCCATGTTTTAAGGCTTTGGCTTCAAGATGAGTTTACTTCAGTCTCGTATACATTGGAGGTTACTTAACACTTGTGAAACATTTTTCAGAGCTTACTTTATACGTGTCCTCCGGCAGGAAAGTAAGGGAAATCCACCCCAAATTTCTCTTGGAACGGATTTCAATTAAAGAAGTTGGCAGCTAGAAATCTATGCCCAAAATTCTTCTGAATCGTGAGTCTAGAAAGGAACATAACTTTTAAAAATGCTATCCATGATTGCATTTTAAAAATGGTACGTTATGGGATAATTTGTTGTAATTGGATGAAAAAAGAAAACTGGAAAAAGAAGATACGTATCTTAGTGGCTGTTTAATTTTTTCCTCATTTTGGGGGAAAAATGGCCTCAAAATACAGCTGTGTATGTTTAACTCTGATCTCTGATCTTCTCTTTCCTTCTACACTTTGAAATAAAAGCTGGAATGAATATGACTCCTGTCTCCAGATTAAAGAAAACTTGGTCAAAAGTCAAGACGGCTAAGTTTGACATTCTGGAGGTAAGTCTGACTTTTTAATCGGAATCTTTGTTAGCCAGTTGTTGTGGCCCAGCAGGAGCCGTTGGAGCTGCCGATGGACTCCGATAGCGAGGGACCCTATGAGTCGGCTCTGGAAGATGTGGAGG